CCTCTATCCCTCTTCTATCCGCCTCCCACTCTCTCCCTATTTATTTCAAAACCCCCTTCCCCTCCCCCTTTTCTGATGAAGGGTCTAGGCCCGAAACGTCAGCCTCTCTGCTCCTATGATGCTGCTTGGCCTGCTGTGTTCATCCAGCCCTGCACCTTGTTGTCTCGGATTCTCCAGCATCTGCAGTTCCTACTATCTCTCGTTGACACGATTGCATTAGACCAAATCTTGAAAAAATGCCAAGGGATAATATTAAGATTAACGTTGAAAATCAAGGAATCAACACAGCAGGAGAATGTCAGTTGTTTTGCCACTGTCTTCTCAATCTCTTACCCCAATTTTATTGCACTTTGCATGCTGCAGTTCTTTGTACAAACTGGCATCAAAAAATGTAATCTCCTGACATAGAGTGCATGCTGACTAGATAATGCTTCATTGCACGCACATTTTGCACACTTGTCCTGCTTCTGAATTGATTTCTCCGTAAACCTACTCCTGAGGTGGATCTATATCGACCAGAGGTGATTCTCAGGGATGGAACTGCTTTACAGGCTGAATGACAGATTGCCATTGTCGTCTATTCAGACCCTGCCATGGCTTAAAGCCACTTGACACAACGCATGTACCATTCAGCCCCAAAGAGAAATGTTAAAAAGCTAATAGAAGCAGAGGTTCAAAGATAAGGAAGTGCTCATTGTAAATTTGCCAGCCTGTATTTTAATACGGAGGGGTCTAAGATTGTACAAAATGCATATTTTACAATCACTAAACATTACAACGAATGCTTTAGAGGGCATATTCAAAAACGTAAAAAGATGTTCAGAGATTTAGTTAGGGACTTTGAATCTTCCTTACGTAACTCAGAATTCATAGGATATCGTCCCTTCAAGTGAGGTTTTGCATCTGGACATGCAATGGGATTATAATTTAACATCTGTTGCGAAGAACCAATTATGTTGAGGATCGTTAAAGGATAGTACCTTCATTTTAAATTCACACATCGGGGAGTTTTGGTTTATATCTAATTGAAATGCTGTATGCAGTACTTTCTGTTACAGATCCGCTCCAGGGAGTGGGGGAAGGGGGGTGGTGATTGCGGCTGGGAGCTGAGTGTGGCCCCCCCTTTATAGCTTGCAGCTTTGATGACTGTTAATTACACAGTGTAGTAGCTGTCAAAACGTGATGAAGCCAAAAATCAATTTTGTCAGTTTCAATGAACAAAAAAAAAGCTGTCTCTCTCTCTCTCTCTCTCTCCCATTCATTTCCTGCTGTTACCTATTGGCATGGCAACAACGGAAAATGCAACTGGGTTTTTACTGGATTGATGAGATGGAGAGACCAGAGACACTGGGGATTGTTACAGAGGATTAAGAAGAGATTTAGTAGGGGCATCCAAAATTATGAAGGCTTTTGCTGGAGTAAATAGAGAGAAACTGTTTCCGCTAGCAGGAGGGTCAGTAACCAGAAGACAGAGATTTAAGGTGCTTGTCAAAAGAACCACAGATTCATGAGGGATAAAATAGTTAAGCAGGAAGGTGTTATGAACCAGAATGTGCTGCTTGATACAGTGGTAGAAACAGATTCAACAATAACTTACAATGGGGAAATTGGATAAATAACTGATATTTTCAAGGCTAAAGGGAAACAGTATAGAAAGTAGGATCATTGGAGAGCTGTTTCAAGGAGCCAGTACAGACACGATGGGCTGAATGGTCTCCTTCTGTGCTGTATGGTTCACTCAAGACAATGGTACTACCACGTAACTTGTTAAACAAAAGTATTGCTCCATGCACTATAGGACTTTAAATTGTACCTGTTTCTTCCTGATTGAATTTGTTGGAAATATTATGTGTTTTCCAATAAAAATGAGCACAGGCATACAGTAAAGAGAGTAGGATTGGGTGAAATGCTTATCAGAGTGTCGGTGCAGACCCGATGGGCTGAATGGCCTCTTTCTGCACTGTAGGGATTCTGTGACTCTATGACTAGCATGGATACTTTCGTCAGTATAGTTCTGAAGCTTTGCAGTGAGAGGTGTAATTTGCAAAAGCCCTTATTAAAGGCATTTTAACCAACCTGTTCAGATATGTTATTACACACCTCTGGAGCCGATGAGACCTGAACCTGGACCTCCTGGCTCAGTGGTATGGACACTATCATTGCACCACAATAGCCCCTAGCCCCTCTTATAATGTTAGGCTGCCAGTCACACTGTTGCTACCTCAGAGTCAGTTCTGGGCATACTGGTGTGTATGCAGCATTCTACTCCCAGATCTGAAGGCTCCCGTCTTAAAGTTCCCATCTGCTGAAAGTATTCAAACTGTTGAGGCTCCTAAAATGAGCAGGTGCTACATTGCCTGATCACACATTAAACTGGAGTTGCTATGTGAAATCAACTGATGCAATAGTGCCTCAATGAG